AAGGCCAGCATGAGTCTCCCTCTCTCCCGTCCTTACTGTCTGTATTTTTTTTCTCGCCAGCACTTTTCCTTTTTCAGTCCCCCATCTCAGTTCATTTCTGCAACTTCTATCTGAATATTCTACTGACATTATTTAATTAAGGGCAAATCTATGTTTTTATGTCCAAAAGTGCAAACATGAAATTTTAGATGCTGACCTTTTGCTGGACACAGAAATGTAGCTTGAATAGCACAGAATTATTATTAGCACATTTATTCACTCAACTCCAGCAAGAAACCCAGCAACCTCCTTCAGCCCCACCTGCTGTTGCTCACATCGATCCACCATCCATGGGAAGCACGGCCCTGGCAACAAACATGGAGATACAGAGGGTAAGATAGAGCTGCTCCGGGGATTAAAATTTTGAATGAGTGCAATTGTAGCAAGAAAGGTGAATTTTTTTTCCCTTCATTGTTAAAAGGATTATTAAAAACATAATGAATGTTCATCCAATTTGTTTTAAGGTTCTGCTGTTTTACCCTCTTTGCATGTCAGCTCACATGTGTTCCTGAGGAGCAATAAAACAATCTCACCAGCAACATCAAGCAAACAAGGCTGAGGAGAAGCAGGACAAAAGCTTGATAACTATCAACAACAGCAAAAATGTCTTCGTTAGCACATCGGGGTTTTTCTTCATATTTGCGTGAGGTTGCACAACTTCATATTCTCACTCAAACACAGAAAAGTGGTGAGACAAGTTTTATTTCAGATAAGACTAGCACCGTTTGATCTCCTGCAGCAGGGGGTGTCCAAAATTCCTAGCAACGGTTGCAAATCTGCAGCGGAGGCAGCAGCAAGAATGTTAAGGCCAGCTTTCAGAGTGGCCATGGTCACAGCTCGCATCTCAGATGGAGTATTTCTGGCCTTTACTTTTTGCAGGAAAAAAAACCAAACAAGCATCTCCTGGGGTCGCTACCATATGTCAGGCAGACCAGCGAAGTAGTCTATTCCAGCAGTGTGTTTTTCTTGTTTTACTGAAGGTAAGATGAAAGGTTTATAACCCACTGCTACAATTGCAGAACGCCAGCTGTTCATCAGGTCCGCTTTTATGAGGAACTCATCTCACATCTCCGAAGGGCTCTGCTTCTACTCTCCTTTTACAAATTCAACTTATGACAGGAGCTTTTCCTGTGTACACACAACTTTTTTTTTTTTTCTTTTCGTTCTCCCCCTCTCCAATTCAAATGTTGTTCTCCTTTTTTGCGTTTCGTTTCAGTTTTCATTCCTCCCGCTCTTGGACAGCATGATTAAATTGTGCTAATTACCTAAGCCCAAGACAGGGTGTTCTGTCACTGGCCCCTGGGCCGGAGTGAGGAATGAGTTTTTTGACGGGCCACCTGCAATGACATCAACAGGTGGTTGTCAGGATCAGTTGCCAAGTTTGCCTTGGAAACCTGCCCCGCAGTTTCGCTGTCAGAGAAAGAACATTCTTCTACTCCACCATCTCTCTGCCCTGAAGTTAGCAGAGGTACGCCAACACGTGCCAGCAGAAGGTCCTGCCTGCCTTTCAAAGAAGGAACGGGAGCAAGCCACTAAAGCACCAGGGATTGACTCTCCCAGGATTTAGTCTCAATCACTATTATTTCACCACGTGACCTGTGTGCCTTCAACATCTTTTCCCACAGCTACAGCGAGGACATCACCTGCCTACCTCACAAGAGCCACGGGTCTCATCACCGAACAGCTACACGGCAACCAAGGCTTCTGGCAGAGAAGCAGTGGAGAAAGGCATCGTTACGTTGGTGGAATGGTAATTGCAGAGCAGTTCAAGCAGCCGAGTGGGGACTGACAGGATCACTTTTGTTTAGCAAACAGTTAGGCTCGTTCACTGGAGATCAAGCAGACCTACACTGTAATTTGGCACCAGCTTCAGGAGCGAGCTGGAATGATGGATGAGCCATCACCCACGTGCCTCAGACAGAGCTGGTAGGGGGTGACGCTGCTCTCCCTCTCCTACCTCCCATGAGCTCCCAGGTGGTGGTGGCAGCAGTCCGTGTCCTTATTGACTCCATTTCCTTATTAATTCCCTTATTGATCTGCTCACTGCCCACTAGGTAGATGATATTTTGATCTCCCCTTACTTCTGACGGTGCTGCTGCTGGATTGTTGAAGCCTCTTGAGCAGCTGGCATCTTGGGGATGAGTGGGTCCACCTTGACTCCCCCACAGAGCAGACACTTGATGAGGGGTGAAAGACACCTGGGGGAAAGTCAGGGAAGCTGGTTGTGTTAGCACCTGAGCTGCTGGTCCACCTACTCCCTTATAAGGAAATTCACAGTGCTTCTGCTTCCCAGCTGCTCTTCCATTTTCAGGTCAGGCAAGTGGCCAAAAATACCCTGAACCATCAAAATCTGGTCAGGATATTACAGCTACTACTTCCTTCTCTCTAATTGTAGAGTAATTGGTCTACAATCCGAGCAGCGATTGCACAGCTGGAGTCTGTGAGGATGGGTAAACAACTTGGACATGAAATCTGTTCTTACCTGCAACACCTGTCTACGGTCTTCTGCTACATCCACCACCATGTTGCCTGTCCCACATCCATCACCTTCTCCACCACTTCAACACAGCCAGCATGCGTGGACACTTTGTGGAGGCTACAAGGTCTACACACAACCCCAGTCATTTCAGAAAGGGTATGTCCGAGGGGAAAACATGGAATGTGATTCTCAACAGAACACACTGCGCTTTTTAATTACACTGTTTTATTGCCTATTACGCAAGTCCAAAATTATTTCCCTGTGACTGGGGTGGAAAGAAAGCACAAAAATAAGGAAAGCTTAAGTGCAAAGAGATAAGGTGGTGGGACCAAGTAATGTAGCTTCCCAGTGATGGAGCCAGGAGGAGACTCCCAACTTCTGGTGTGCACTGCTGGGTCAGATGGCAAACACGCAAGGTGGGGACAGGGGCTTGCTTTTCAAAAGTGCCAACTAATACTGAAATTACTGAAGTAACTGGAGCACTAGCACTGGTGCCACTGAGACACTGAGCTCGGTTGGTTCTGTGTGGCTCCAAGCTCCAAAGACGCTTTGGACGCTCTGTAAACAACAATACCATCAGCACAAATTGTGCTATCTAATAAAGTTGAGGAAATGTTTACAATCAGTTCTCAAAACAGACTCTTCCATAATTGAAATACTGCAGAGCAGAAGACAGCGTTATAATTATAATAAATGGGAGCTGCTGAGTTAGAGAGGAGCAAAATCTTTTGTCAGCAAATCCCATTTACACGAGCAGAGGCAATGTTGGTAGGAGCACAAAGCTGTTATGTTTTTCTGTGCACTAGTACCTGCATGTTCACTTGCTGGGCTTGGATAATACTTGTGAGTCCCTTTGCTTTTTAACTTCCAATGGCCTTTTCCAGTAAATTGGAGAAAGTTCAGAGACTAGCTACAGGAACAACTGGAGGACTGCAAAAGCTCGCATAACACAGAAAACAGCAGCAGCTCCATCAGTGGGTGGTATCAAGCAGCAGGTTAAGGGAGGAGTTGATCACTCCACGGAAAACAGTCTTTTGGCAATGTGGACTTTAAAAGCGTAAACAAATCCAATGACTGGAAGCTGACGTTAAACAAATCAGACTAAGAATAAAGGAGGATATTTTCAACAGCCAAGTTAATTAACCTTCAGTACGATGTACTGATGGTTGTGCTGGATTTTCCATTCCTGGAAACATTAAAAAGTAGAATGGAGGTCTTTCTAAATGACTTCCTAAATACCCAGCGTGGTAAAACAGAACAGGATGCCGCTCAAAAAAGCTAAAAATCACCTTCACCCAGGTTCAAGCCCCCCTCAGTGACAATGAACTCCTGTCCTCCCAGCTTAACCTGGGTGGGTTAGAAGCTCTCAGAGAGCCTTTGGGATAACCCTGTCAGCTAGCCAGAGGACAAAACATAGACATAATGTCTGGATTTTCCTGCCACACAACATGGCAGGAAAGAACATTTCTTGCACCTTCTGACATGCCTTATGGAGCCAGCTCTGCCCTCGTTGTGCATCAGAGCCACTCCTCACCTTCTCTGTCCTTCCCACACATCCTTTTTTCCCCCCAAGGACATTATCTGTACCCTCCATGCCTGCTCTCCCTTGCAGTCCCTGGTACCCTCCTTTTCCCCACATTCATTCCTCTGAGGGGCTTGTCTCTTCTCCCAAGCCCCCAGGACCAGAGGAGAGAGGTTCTGGAAACTGGGGTGACCTGCTTGCTGCACCGAGCTCTGCCCAGGCAGTGGGGAGCAGCCAAGGCCCCAGATGAGCTGCACTAACAGCCCCACAGGAGTGGGGACCAGAGGGATGCTGCTTGCAGGGAGTCACCCCATCTGCACATGGTCAGGAGGGTCCTTCAGAGATACCACAGGAGATGTCCCATATTACAGCCCAACCCCAGCCCCAGATTTACCATGCATCTATGGGGAAGGTAATTCACCCTTCTGCTTCAGCTTCCTCCTGTACAGAACCACAGTAATTATATTTACTGCACAGGAGCATTTTCAGGATCAATTAGTTTAGTGTTCATGCAAAGCTCTGTGGACAGAAGCCTCAATTCAAGTAGTAAGTACTATTATTATTACTGCACTTCAGATGGCTACAGCACTGGCATTTTCCAGGCATGCACCATTAACAATTTACTAAGATAAATGGCCCAGGAACCTGAAAATGCATTTATGACAACTACCTCCTGCTTACCAGCATACATTCAGCCAAGTAAATGACACCTCATTGCTCAACATGTAGCTATGGTTACATTTCTATCCCATATACTGAAGTGTGCACACAAACTCACATAACACACACACACACACAGGGAGCTGGAGGGAATCCAGGCTACCTCATTTAATGACATGCAAACACCAAGCCAGGGAACTTTCCCAGCCTCCGAAGAGCCGAGCTGCCCCCCGGGAGCTGGGGGGTGAGGAGCAGGCAACCCACCCCGTGCCTGGTGGGGAAGGCCCTCCAGGGACTTACCTGAGAGCAGTTTTGTAGTGGTAGATGGCCTCAACGTTACGGCCCTGGTCTTTCAGAAAATTGGCGTAGTTGTAGTGCACCTTGGCGTTGTGGGGCAGGGTCTTCACTCCCGAGCTGTGAAGAGGAAGAGAAGCAGGACGGCGTTAACCAGTGGTGTTACCCCACCTTCCCCAAGGTCTGCCTTCTCACCATCCCTTTCATGAGAAGTTTACTCAGATTTTGAGTGCCTTGTCACCTCCTGTGCACTCGTGTGTAACTCACGTTACGACTCCAAGCTTGCCCCATGCACTAGCCCACCAGGTGCCCCGGGTGGACACAAATAGGTGGCAGTGATTCAACTCATCCTGGCTGCTGTCACCGCGGGCTCCTCGAGCACCAACACTGCAACACTACCTGTGGCCAGATGCTGCCACCTTATTTCAAAATCTGAATTACTAAATCGAAAGACCCTAAAAAGGCTAATATTTAGAGGGCAAAGTACATAGTACTTCCTACAGTATAGCCATGACAGGCTCCCTGCTTAAACTAGAGGGACAGAAAGCACCTTGTGAAAATCTTGATTTAAATCTACCAGCTGGAGGCACCAGAAAGAAGGTACCTTTTCCCCCCACGCAGCAGCCACTAGAGAGGACGCACAGCATTCTCTGAGTACCCACCCAGCACTTACTCACCGCTTAGTCCTGAGAGCAGGGCATGGCCAGGAGGTGAGGGCTAATGGCACCCTCATCTTCAGCTGACAAGTTGTCCGATCTTACACTATCACATATGACTGTGGGCATGGGGCTGCACAGCCACCCCATCCCTCCCCTCCATCTCCCCTGCCACCCAGAGCAGACTCAGCATTTGGAATTAATAACGAGGGCGCAAAGACAAAAGGAGAAGAGCAAGCATATGCTTATTTACTTAATTGAGAGCACAGAAAGCAAAGTACACCTTGCACGGCTAGAGGAAATGCCGTTTCAAGGTTAGAGAGAGAAAGAAATCACAGGAGCACGTACACCATGGAAACATTTCCCCTGCATGAATCCAAAGAGGTTGGTAGTCTGTTTAATGGGGGAATCCTTTCCAGCACATAAATAGGGGCTCTCTGAGGTAATGGGAAATAAGGATGGATGGAACTGTTCACATAAAACCAGACAAAGCGCTGTTTCTTGCCTACGAGTAGATTCCTGCCAGCTGCTCTCTCTTCTCCCCCCATCATCTCAGACCCTCGTACCTCAGGTAGGAAAAGCAAGGATTAGGACATTCCCAAGTCTTATTGCTTTACCTTGCCCGTCTCTCCTGTTCAACTTTGGTGGGCCTGGAAGTTAATTGTAATGAGATGGGGTTGCACACAGCCCCTACAGTGGGGTGCACCCCCTCTCCCGTGGGGAGAATGCACCCACAGCTCCAGAAACCCTTTGTCGGGGATTTCATCGTAAAACAGCGCTGGAGAATGTGGCAAATACAATATCTTTTCGGTTATCTGCAGCCAGTGGTATCAAGCATCACTAATGCCTACTTGTGAGAGCTTCCAAAGCTTCGCCCACGGCTGCCTTACGGAGTTCAGCACAGCACAGCCACGGTTTGCCTACTGAAATTAAAAATACACCTTCCATTTGGCTTCCTAATCATCAGGTATTTCCAAATTACTTACTGGGAGCACTACAGGAATAAGACATTTTGTGACTAATCGCTGAATTAAATCAGTTAATTGATGCTATTCTTAAGAGAATGATTTTCTATATTAGTTTTCACAAAGATATACGGCACCAGCAGCAAGTAATGTGTGACTGCTATGGCTGTGTTAATTTCTATTGGCCTTGGGAGCTATTAACTACACACTTACAACCTCTGGGCATTCCTGGAATATTAATTCTTATACAGAGAGGGTTTCATTATACCAGTGCCAGCGTTACAGGCAGAGACATGGACAGGCACTCAAAACTGCTGCTATCTCAGAGCTATGAGTTTCTGGCTTTGCTGCAGCCCCTGCTGAAAGAGAGCAAACTGAGTTAATGGTGAGGAGTACATTACATATGCACAAGTACTCCAGTTCTAATGAGACGCGCTTTTAACAGTAAGATGCATACATTTAAATATTTTAATTCTGGACTGTTTCCCTTTAAGTAGAATTTATTATTAATCCTGCTGGTCCCATTCATTAAAACGTCACTAATAAAGCTTCTTTGATCTGCATGCCTTGGGTGGGGGTGACACAGGAGAGGCAGAAATCGGTTCTGGTTCTTAGGATGCTCTCTTCTGCATCACCCCGCTCACACTCCCTGACCTATTTATTCTCCTTGCACGGGCAGGGAGAGGGGTGTTTCATTTTGCAAATGCACGTAGCAATGACTGAGGCTGCCTGGAGTCTCTCTGTGCTGAGGGAGGCAGAAGCAAACACCTCCCTGGACGCAGAGGGGATATTTTAAGAGAGTTTAGGCAAACACTCCTGCTAATTGATTCTTGACCAGCCGAGAATGCTGCTTGCTCATCGACAGGGGAAACAATAATGTCCATAATGAAAGCCAAGCAGGAAAGGGTGGAGTATAAATAACAAAGCAGAACACAATGTTCTTCCATTGCTGCTTCCCACAAGCCTCCAGTCTCTCACAATTTCAATCTAATTTTCCAACGTGCTTTTCCAAACTCTCCTATTTCCCTCTTCCCCAGGCCGGCACACACGTGCCCTTCTGAAAACCTATGGCACCGATCTGTCTCCAGCCAGAAACAAGCCCATTGAGATCAGACGTCACTTCTCCAGAGGATTTCCTTCCCTTTTGACTTCTACGACAGCAGTAAGCGACATAAATGGAAAATAAACAATAGGCAAACCCTTTCACGTAACACTTCCTCTCCATGGAAAGGCAAAAGCCTATTAGACATAAATTAGAGAAATAAAATACCACTGGTATTTTCCAACCTCAAATACCAGCATTACCCAAATCCCACTTCAGTTGGGAAAGTCTCCTGTGATCCCCTCTGTTTTTTCCTAAGTGCTCTGCAAAGTGACTGGGTGCAGGGCAGAGCTTTCATTGATTTTCTGTGATTTCCACATGAAACGTGCTCAGTTTACAAGGAAACGAGGCCACTCCTGCCTCCGCAGGAGCCCTGGAAGACTGATGGGGTTTCCTCTCCTTTGGGAATCATTATCATCAATAAAGGTTCTCTACAGCAAATTATTCTCTGGATGACACAAACAACCGCTTTTCCTTGGCCTCCTACCCTTGTATTGATTTTCACAGATATCAATGTTGGGTCACATTAAGCTATTCTATAAAAGATGCACGAAATGCAATAGGACTTGCTCTCCTCAGCTGAGCTTGCTTTCAAAATTAACAAAAGCATGCAGCAGTAAACGCCACCTTGGGGGACAGGCTGGTTTTTGCAAATGACTGAAGTCAGCAGACCTGGCTGCTGCCAAAAACCTGCTGACAAAGAAAGTGCCACTTTTATGCAGTTCCTTTGCTGGTTACAACTGTTGTTTCCAGGTCCTGTCACAAACGTGGGCAGAACATGCAGATACTTTCCAGGAGCAACAGGAAACGTGGCAGCCTCACAAACCTTGGAAAGGTTCAGCGGATGTGGAGGTTAGCCCACAGCCCTCACCTCCCTCTCCCTGCCTTCAGACATTAACACTGGAACCTGCCCACCTGTCAATACAGTGAGACAAACTGCTTGGGGCTTCTAGAGACCTGCTGGAATAACGTGCCTCAAATGCTTACAGCTCTAAATGTTTGGCCACTTCTTATATATATTCTCAATATAAGAAGGACATGGACCTCATGGAGAGGGTCCAGAGGAGGGCCACAAGGATGATCAGGGGGATGGAGCACCTCTGCTACGAGGACAGGCTGAGGGAGCGGGGGTTGTTCAGCCTGGAGAAGAGGAGGCTCTGGGGAGACCTAATAGCGGCCTTCCAGTACCTGAAGGGAGCCTACAGGAAGGCTGGGGAGAGCCTGGTTAGAAAGGCCGGCAGTGACAGGGCAAGGGGTAATGGCTGCAAGGTGGAGGGGAGCAGATTTAGATTAGACATTAGGAGAGGGCTCTTTACTGTGAGGGTGGTGGAGCACTGGAACAGGTTGCCCAGGGAGGTGGTTGAGGCCCCTTCCCTGGAGATATTCAAGGAGAGGCTCGACGAGGTCCTGGGCAACCTGGTCTAGTTGGGGGTGTCCCTGATGACTGCGGGGGGGTCAGACTAGATGACCTTTGGAGGTCTCTTCCGGCCTGGGCAATTCTATGATTCTGTGATTTATACTTGTGGTTCATTTGCTTCTTGTTTAGTCCTTGCACACCTGCTTGTGTACCTATGTGGAGATGCATCATTTCCTGAGACAGCAGCATCCTCTCCCACACTGCTCCCTTTAGCTAGGACCCGGCAGGATTTCTGCATCCAGAAAACTTGGCCCCTGGGCTGGAGATGGAGAGTCAGGATGGCCCAGGGGTGGCAACAGCGCTGCTGTACAATGTCAAAGCAGGGTAAAGCCTTGAGAGTGGGACAAAATGGGGTACAGGCACAAAACTGGTAACATGCTGAGTACCCAAACATCTCCTGGACCAGCATAGAGAAAGCGTGTATAACAGAACAGATGTCAGCCAAGCAAATTGAGTCAGATTGACCCCGAAGAAACACATCCGAGCAAAGGGAGGAATGGAAAGCAGAGGCGAAGGGGAAAAATGTAAGAGGAGGGAAAAAGCAGTAATTAATTAAAGCAGCAACTGGAGAAAAAAGAATGAGGAACTAGCAATGGGAGTAAAGATTCTCTCAGCACATACTTCTTAAAAAAACCCACATCCAACACACACAAAGACTACCAAGTAGGTTGATTTATGTCTCCTTTCCCACAGCTATAGATTTGCTCTGTTTCCTTATTATTTTCCCTCATACTTCTTTATGGTTCCTTATCTCCTCCTCCTGCTCTGTCCTTTCTAATTTATTGCTGCTGCCCTTGCCTTCATCCACTTCTCCCTCCTTTCTTCATCAGCCTATATATAGCCTCCTTCCTATGCCCCAAAGAGATCTCCCACTCCTGGGATGACAGGACCTTCTTGCTATACTATGCTTCTTGTACATTTCCTTCCCATCAACAAGAAGAGTCCTACTGTATTACAGACTTGCAATTGATGTATAACACCTATCAAAGAAGATCTTAAAAGGACAACAAAAAGGCCAATATGGTTAAACAGCACAGTAAACAAGGCTACGAGAAATGAAAAACACCATTTAAAAAGTGAATGGCACAGCTGCAGAAGGAAAAAGGAAAAGAGTATAAACTTTAGCAAATTAAACATAAACCATAATTAGGCAGACCAAAAGAGATTTAAGGAAAAACTTGTTAAAGCCATCAAAGCTAATAATGGAATATATCAGATATAGGAAACCTGCCAAAGATCCCCTAAGGCAAAAAGATGACGACGGTCCAAAAGTAGTGCTTGAAGAAGAAAAAAGGCCACAGCAGAAAAAGTAAATGGATTATCTGCACCAGTGCTCACTACAGGGGAACTGAAGGACGTTGCCACACAGAAGGCTTTCCTTAGCCTGTCCTAAGCCAGACAGGGGCAAGTCTGAAGCACTGTCTCAAAACAAAGTGGCAGTAAAAGAGGCTTTAAAACAAATAAACACCAAGAACAGTTATAAATCCACTGGGCCTGGTCGTATGCATCCAAAGGAAATAAAATGTGAAGCTGCTATTAGCTTTGGTGTGTAACCTACCATTTACATGAGGCTCAGTACTAAAGAAGTGGGAGGTGATGACCCTGACATCATTTGGCTCCAGGGGAGGGATGTGGGGGGCAACAGACCAGCAAGTCTGACTTCCACTTCAGGTAATTTGGGAAAAAGAGTAATAAAGACTAGCCCTAGCAAACTTCTGGATAACTACAATGCAACAGAGAAGAATTCACCTTGTATTTTGCAGAAAGAATTTAGGTGGACAGATCTGTTGTTCTTTGATGGACTCAAAAGGTATATGGTACTGAGATTACGGAAAGATTTTGTGAAAAATCAAATACAGCCCAGTAAGTCAGAATCACATACATCAATGTTGCGCACTTGAATGTTCAAAAAGGCTTTTGATAAAATCGCCTCATTAAAGACTTCCAATTTCTTAAACACATCGTGGAGTAAGAGGGAAGGTCCTCTTGTGAATCAATACCTAGTTGAAAGACAGCAAGCAAAGAGCACCAGAACGTGAACAGCTTTTACAATGGGAGAAGACTGCAAGCAGGGTTCCCAAGAGACATGCACTGGCATCTGAGTTGCTTCACATGTTCACAAAAGGATCTTGAAAAGGGAGCAAATGGGGCGGCGACACATTTGCGGATGACATCGATGTGAATCACACTGCAGGAATTAAAGCTTACTACGGAGAGTTGGAGAAGGATCTCACAGTATTGAACGCTGGGCAAGAAGATGGCAGATGAAATGCAATTCTGGTACGGGCACAACTATCCAGGAGTGTGTATATACACACTCAGTCTGCATAAATCTGCACACAGACTGATGTCTATAAATCAGACACTTCCACTCACAATAGATACCTTGCAATTTGTGTGGACAGTGCTGTGAAAATATCACCCAGTCCTTAGGAGAGGTCACAGAAGGCAAATGGAAGGTCAGGAATGAGTAGAAGAGAACAAAAACCAGAAAGCAGTGCTACGTTACGGTGTTGCACGTATCTCTTGAAAGGTGATTCTGTTCTCCTTCTCAAAAAGACAGACTAGAGTTTGAAAGCATCCAGAGAAGACTGACAAGCAGGATCAGAAATGCAGAACAGCGTCCATATGAGGAGAGTTGAAAACTAGCAGACTCCAGTGTGAAGACACAGCCTTGGGGGAGGACGTGGGGGCAAAGGCATGGGAAACAGGAGACAAGTGATGAGCTGGTGGTTACTCACTACTCATTCAACGCGCCAAACAAGATGATCAGGCAGAAGGCTCGCAGCACACAGAAGGGAAATCTCAGTGTGCACACTGTGTAATTTAACGACAGAGCCCAGTGCACAGGATGCTGCAGAAGCCAAAACTATAAATAGATTCAAAAAAGCAGTCAGAGACATTAATGGAAGAGAAGTCCATCAGGGGCTGTTAAAAGCAAAAAAAGCAAGTAACTCCTCACTCAGGAAGTCTTTAAGCTGCAGATTACTGCAAGCTGGGAAAGGATGGAAGACAAGCATCACTGTTGCTGGCCCTGTTCTTACGTTGCTTTTCTAGGCATCTGCGGCCGATTGCTCTCAGGGGCAGGCTGTGACATGAGGTGACCCAGAAGGAATGTTCTTACCTTCTTTTCAAAAGCCCAGGGCAGATCTCTCTCCTGGAATTGTCCCCAAAAGACCTGAGCCGAAGAGTGAGACAGCTTAACCCAAGCCGTCAAGCCCTGTGTACTAACCTGGGCAGCAGCAAATCCCTGCCTTCCAGCAAGGTGTATGAGCTCCAGCTCAGAGCTGCACTGAAGCAATGGCACAGTTCCTGAACTGGAGCTGGTTTGTAGATGGCCAACCTGCTTGGAATGGAGGTAGGATGGACAGAAGTCCATTTGTATCCAACTAAGCAGACATAACCTTAGCCTCCTCTTCTGCAACAGATCCCCTGGCACCCTCATGTCATCCCAAGAGTGCTCCTTAGTGGGAGGAGATGTCCTCCTGTCATCCACTCCAGTTCAACTTCATAATTCATGGGTGACCACAACCGTAGGCAACATGATACCAGATCATGTCTGCAACTCTGCACATGGAATTGCCATCTTCCCATCCCTCTTTCAACAAGCGAGTCATCCAACTTGGAATGGTGTCCAGCTTTCCTCCGAGCAGCTACCATTAGCCAGAAGGGTTTGGACTGGAGGTGCACATCACGGGGATGGCTGCGCGAGCCCCGACCGGTCACCATGGCTGCTATTGTTTGAATAGCAAACAGTGTTTCATGGAGATGGGCAATGAATCATGTTGGAGCGAAGAAACCCCTATTCCAGAACTTTTTTTGAAAAAAAGCCCGACTAACAGAGCTCCGACCACTTCAATAGTGTTTCCTGAAGACCGAAGGGTACACATAAAAAATAATTTCATACCCTTTAGTGCTGTGTAAATTAAACTTTGCTCTGGCCAATAAGTTAGAAAATAAAGCTAAGCAACCCGTGTGCAGATCACCTGCGTTTTTGCAATTACTTCACAATTAGACAACTGCTGAAAGCAGCTGGAGGCAAATGCAATACATTTGCTAGCAAAACACAAAATGAAACAGTCTGTTTCCATGCAAAAAAATATATAAATGAGGTTGTAAAGAGAGCTGTTTGGCAAAGAGTAATCAAATAAAATGAAATATGGTACATTAAGCTTGGCACTTCATGGCATTTCATTTTTGTCATTAAGAACACCGCTAAAGAAAATTCAATATATTCAATAGCGTTACTATGGTGTTCTGGAGGGTTGCAATGAACTTTTGCTATGTCTTTAAAAAGGAAAGTGTTACATTATTGGTAAATCTACAGAACTGAAGTTATTTAAAAATGGTGTGTCTTAAAAATGTGATTGCCAGAAACAAAGTTTGTGCACAAGCAAATAAAGTGCTGACACCAGTTTTTGCACAGTTGCCAGAAAACAGAAAGTAGGTGTTATTTTGTAATAATCAAAATGTTAATCACAGCAACGAATCAATAGCAGGACTTGCACTAAAGAAAACAATTCCATATAACAAACTTATTTTAAACAATACAAAAATGCAAGTACTCTCCCGTGGTCACTCATACCTGAAAAGGGATTCTCGTGACAGCCAGATTTCATTTTGTTTTATGGTCTTCCAAGAGAAGAGCAGCAGCAGGAGAGCAAAGAGGGTCAGAACAGTAATCCTCCACTTATTTAACCATGTAGACAGCTTTTTTAGACCGTGGACAAAAAGGATGCAGTACCCCATACTGGAAAAAAAAAACAAAAAGGAAAAGGTACCAAAAGTTATATTCCAGTACTCTGGTTTATAATGCAAGACCATTCAGTATTGCATTTATTACACAATTACAGGGGGTTTTTTTGGACTAATTATGTTTTCCAAGCTAACAAACTCCAATTCAACAGCAGTTTTCCTCAAGTCACTACACAATTTCCAAATTAATCTAAATGATAGACCGGGATGCCAGAAGTACAGTAGCATACATAACACCACCGGGCATAATGGTAGCTTACACCAGCCTGTGGAAGGCAGCTGCTTTTCTCAACAGCCAGCTAAGAAAGTATCGTGTAATAACAGTAATACTGAGCACTACTGGAGCAGCGTGGAAGGGAAAAGCATTCTAACACAGGGAAGTCGCTAAACAACCCCAGTGGCAGCCGCTATTAATTCCAGTTTACAAATTGCAAAGCCGAGGCGGGACAGCACGTGGTGTAGCCAACGCCGCAGCAGGAGCAGCCCACATCAAAAGGCAGGAGTCCCTGCTCAGGTCTTGCATGTCTACATCAGGGCCAGCCTGTCCCATCCAGTGCCCAGTCCAGAGCATCTGAGATGTGTCAGCAGAGCTTCCTTGTTGCCCCTTTCCATGAAGCCACACAGGATCTTCTCCAGCGCCCAGCCTCCAGGCACTTTCATGGCTCTCCGTGCCAAACTACTGAGGCATTTTCTGGGAAGTGAACCGAATTTTGAACAGGTCTTACTCCTGTATAACTTTAAATCAATTCAGTAATTATTTACCTTATTTCAAGTGCTATGTTAATTCTTCCCGTGATGCCCCTTTGAGTTGGAAATGGAGCGATTTTGGTTGCTGTACTTAGTACAGCCACTAATTCTGCTTGGCATTTTTAGAAAGGAATTTCAATTCCTATTGCCTGAGGAATTTCATTAGCTTATCTGTAACTTTCCTATGCAGTTACTTAGCACCTGATTTAGTTTTAGACTTAAAAGCTATCTTAGCCCAGGCAGCTCTGTCTGAAGTAAAAAAGGGAGCGAAAGGATTTGGAATAACACCTGGGGGACCACCGATACAGAGAGACAAAAGAGCAGCCCTCCCAGACACTGGCACACCTTGAACCCCAGCTGAGTCCCACACTTGAATGCAGGCAGGCTGGAGGGCAGGGACCTCATCGCTCCTGCCCACGCTCCACTAAGAGACCTATAAGCTTGGCAGGTCTGCACTGAGATGTCCGGGCAACTTCCCGATGAGATTGCTACAAGATAAGAAAAACTAAGAAGGTAATTCCCCTGTCAGAGGTGACCTTGCAAGCAAGCAAGCGATACGGGGAAAGTCAATCTGGAAATCAGAAAAAGAAAAATGTCCCATCTTCGAGAAGCTGTGAGCGTGCTTCCTGGAATAGTTTGTCTGCCCTCTTGGAGGGCTGGGCACATTGATATTGCCTGGGCTTCCTAAGGATGGAGAGGGACAGTAATTCTTGCTTTTACTGAGGAAAAAAGAGCCTCTGTTGTACGCATGGATCGGCACCAGGCAGTGCTGGGTGCTACACAGAGGGGTATAGACACAGGGGGCAAAACCAGGGACAACACGAGATCTGGAGATCATTCAAAACTTCTTCATTGTTAGTTTAGAGTTCTCCTGTTTTTCAGAAGTGGGTATCAGTATTTTTTTTTCCCCACTTAACTATGCTTGCATTTTGCTGCAGAACATTTCGTATGGCACTCGCAGTGTTTTTTTCCATGAATTCTTTTGCACACATACATTTATTGCACCTACATTAACTGCAAGCAGACATTTAGAGCTACAAACTGAGATGCTGGTGCCAAACAATCCAGCCTTTATAGCTATTGAACCCTGCTTTAAAGCCTCTGAAAAGCTAATCTTGGTAATAAGCCCTCCCTTTCCAATAAGAAATGCCTTAAAAACCTGCAGACGGTTTTCACTCTGTTATTTTGCTTTTCAGCAATTTCAGCCTTCCCTTGGAATTAATTATCTGACATAAACATTATTTAATTGCTTTAGCACAAGGCCATTTTTAAAGGAATTTCCCTACACCTTCACATTTTCAAGAACAGGCCTTTTCTAACAGAACCGCGAATGTGTCCAGAAAACAAAAAAATGCAAACGTCAATGTCTTGGTATTTATGTCAAACCCTGCCCCAGCTGTGGGGAATTTCTGCCTGAGCAGCAGCACTCAGCCTGCTTGTCCGGGGCACGGCCAGCACCATACTAGAGCTTACACAGCCACTGCAAAGGTGCTGCTGCCAGGGGTTATCCTTGAACATCTGCAGGGCATTGCCACAACAGATACAGGGTGATGCTCGGGGGTAGAGAGGATTAAGGGTTCCTCTCAGACTGCAGCTCCCATCCCAGCTGCACGGGCAATGACACAGCGCAGGTACGTAGCAGTGCCCAGCTCCGCATGGCACCTTCCATCGGAGGCTCCCAAAGCACTCTGTAAGGGAGGTCTGCTGCAATTTTCCTCTTCCAGAGCAGGAACCTGAAACGTGGTAATAAAGCCATTTGCCCTGCTGACAGGGGACCGGCAAACAAGGCAAAGAAGCTGCAGTTCAAGGCTCTACCCACAGCACAGGGAAGTACGCAATGGAAACCAAGGTATCTTGGCTATCTTGAGGCAGCAATGTGCCCTTGTGGCCAAGAAGGCCAACGGTCTCCTGGGGTGCATTAAAAAGAGCATGGCCAGCAGGTCAAGGGAGGTCATCCTCCCCCTCTACTCTGCCCTGGTGAGGCCACATCTGGAGTACTGTGTCCAGTTCTGGGCCCCCCAGTTCAAGAAAGACAGGGAACTACTGGAGAGTCCAGCAGAGGGCTATGAAGATGATCAAAGGAATAGAGCACCTCTGTTACAAGGAAAGGCTGAGAGACCTGGGTCTGTATAGCCTGGAGAAGACTGAGAGGGGATCTCATCAATGCTTCTAAATATCTAAAGGGCGGGTGTCAAGAGGATGGCGCCAGGCTCTTTTCAGTGGTGCCCAGCGACAGGACAATAGGCAACAGGCACAAGCTGGAACACAGGAAATTCCATCAAAACATGAGGAGGAACTTCTTTGAGGGTGGCAGAGCCCTGGAAGAGGCTGCCCAGAGAGGTGGTGGAATCTCTGTCTCTGGAGACATTCAAAACCCAGCTGGACACGTTCCTGCGCAACCTGCTCTAGGTGGACCTGCGTTGGCAGGGGGGTTGGACTGAAGGTCCCTTCCAACCCCTACCATTCTGTGTGGTCTTGCTGAAAAGCCCACAGGACTCCCTGAGAGATAAAGAGGTAAGGAACCCAAAGGCAGGCTCTACATCCACACTCGGCAAGACTACAGGATTCAGCAGAAAGTATAAATACAGAGGGGAACAGGTTCTCCAATGGCTGCTGGAAGGGGATCCCGCAGCTGATGTACCAGAATCTCAAACCACAAAGCTGCCAAGGGTAAGGCTAAAGGAGTGACGCATGATTTACACTTTAATAAGATAGAGATAATTGTGACAACATTAGGACTGAGCTGTAGCTGTGTCACAATTACAGCCTAACTAGCCTACAGACAACGTACTTGCAACTATAAAGTGCACAGGAATCCAAAAGAGAGGAAAAGAAGGAAAAGGATCAGAAAGCATTCATTAGGTGAATGCTTTTATTTTCAGAACCCAGTAAGTTTGGCTTAAAACTTCAGACGATTTCCTGCCACAGATCATCAAGGAAAGGGTGGGGAGGACACGCCTGCATTATCTTGTCAGGGACCTTTCTGTGCAGATGTCAGGTGGAGCCACATCTTTTTTGGCACGGCTTTTTTTATGACACGGTCATTTCAAGCCCATCCCCTGGCTGAGGGTGGATGTTACATTCCTGGCTGCAGGTCTTCTGCAGGCCAAGGACTCCCAAAGCACTGAAAGCACTCTCGTGTCCTTTGTTGCCAGGAAAGCATGTGCATTTGTGATTTCATGCCACAAATTGTTTGCAAAACAGCAACTCGCTGCAGCATCCCCAAAGCTATTATCTGTAGTAATTTTTGCAACTCTCTTTACATTTCTACCTTAAGGCCGAATAAATATGGTGAAATCAGGGCAAATCCAGACCCCTCCTCCAGATGCTGTGGTCTGCTCTAAACAAAACACTAAAGTCTCCACACCAATGTACTAGGCATCTGGAGGAAAAAACAATACATATATTACTATCATTTCCTAGTCCCCAAAATGCATAGAATCATAGAATGGTCTGGGCTGGAAGGGACCTCCAAAGGTCATCAGTCCGGCCTCCCCGCAGTCAGCAGGGACACCCTCAACTAGACCAGGTTGCCCAGGGCCTCGTCGAGCCTCTCCTTGAATATCTCCAGGGATGGGGCCTCAACCACCTCCCTGGGCAACCTGTTCCAGTGCTCCACAACCCTCATAGTAAAGAACTTGTTCCTAATGTCTAATCTAAATCTGCTTTTCTCCAGTTTAAAGCCATTACCCCTTGTTCTGTCATTGACAGCCTTTGTAAACAGGCTCTCCCCAGCCTTCCTGTAGGCCCCCCTCAGGTACTGGAAGGCATAATCCTTATATACTTTAAAACACACTTGTTTCACACTAGATTCATCAGTCCTGACAAAGAAATTCGCTTTAGTACAGAGACCATGAAGTTTTGAACCAGTAAAGCACCACACTTACTAAGATCGAGTTGCTGCAGCAGCAACACGCCCTGATAGTCGCTGGACCTGGAGAACCCCCCTGCAGTGCGTCACCCGCGAGATGCAAGTTCATCCCATTTCCCTTGATTTCAACCTCACCAGGCTTCAGATAAGCCTCCTGAAGCTGCGCCGAGTTTTAGCTAGTCAGCAGCAGCACAGGGACTGGTAGAATTATAGAATCATCTAGGTTGGAAGGGACCTTCAAGATCATCTAGTCCAACCATCAACCCAAATCTGACAAAAAAAAAAAATCACTAAACCATGTCCCCCAGCACCATGTCAACCTGTCTTTTGAACACCTCCAGGGATGGTGACTCAACCACTTCCCTGGACAGCCCATT